ATGGGCATTCGGGACAGGGCAGAGCAGCGCGTCAGAAATCCTGGCCTGCGAGCCTCGTTGGGCCGCAGAGTCTCCGGAGGAGCCACTGCTCAGGGCCAGGCCATTACTGTGGAGGGGCAGCCAGGGAGCGGGGACAAGGCCTCCTTGGTCACTGCATGCGTGTTCAGGCTGTCCTCAGCCTGGCGAGGCCGAGTGACAGCAGGGGGCGGGTGGAGGCTTGGGGCATGGGCTGGGGCTGGGGGTTGGAAATGGAGCAGAGAAAGACTTGCGGAATCTTGTCCAGGAAGGTCTGAGTCACTCTACTGCAGGCAACTACAATCAGGCTGGAATGTCCCTGAGGTGGCCAGGATGGGAGGCAGGACAATTTGGCCCATGTGCCTCCAAGTCCGGCTCTCTGGGCCTGGAAGGGCAAAAATGGCCGCCACTGAGAGCAGAGTGGCAGGCTACAGAAAGGCTCCATGTTCCAAGGGAAGCCCCATATGTCTGTCCCCAAGAAGAGCCCGCCATGGTGACAGTCCACCAGGGGAAGAGGGGAGGAATGGCTGCATCTTGTTTGGCCAAGGCTCTCTTCCAGCCCTGCTTCCTTACTGAGAGCTGCCAGGTAACACACAGGACGCCAGTAAAATTGGAACCCTAGATAAAACAACGAATAATTTCTTTTTAGTACAAATGTGTCCCAAATATCACATGTAGTTTTACTGGCTAAATCTGGCAACGCTCCCCTTACCAGGTCTGTGAATGGCCCTCAGTCTTCCACCATCAAAGCTGAAGGAGCAAGACCTTTCCTGGATTCTTTGGTGGTTAGAAATGTCTTAATTATAAGTTCGTTTACCTTCTGTAATACCCTCTTCAACCCTGTGTACCTGTTACTGCATGTCTGTGCTAGAATCCAACCTAAGCTGGCAAGAGCTTCGTCACCAGCTACAGATGTGGTTATCTAACACAGAATGTATAGCACCACGCTTTTCAGGGGAGGAGCCGGGGGGTCCCAAGTGCTTTTTCACTTGAACGAATTTTTTGTTACAAGGAAAAAGCAGTTGCATGGAGGAAATGAGAATCAGTTGTGGGTCTCCCAGTGTCCTGGGTGGGTGCTGGTCGGGTCTGCAGGAGCAGCGTTTCTTAGGTGCCTCTGAGGGTGGGAAATTCTCTGGAACCTGTGTGTATGGACCTCAAGGAGGAATTAGGCAGTAAGTAGGGGAAAACCAGAAAGATGGAGCCTACCCCAGCAGGCTGCTCCAAGAAAGAGCCATTGGACTTCTGGAATGACCTTATGGTGCCCATTTGTAGGTGTTCTGGCAACCCCAGGGCTACCGTTTAGCCTGCTTCCTCTGCTGCCTTTGGAGCCCTGTGCTGGTGGTGGCGGTGGGGGGCATATTCTAACCAAGCCCAGAGAGGCAGGGAAGGAGAGACCCTGCTTGGAGAACCCATTTCCTCCTTGGGCACACTGTGGAAGGCTGTGCCTTGTGCATTGAATGGACTGTTCAGAGTTGGGAAGGCAATGCAGGTTTGATATTTTGGGTCTTTGCCCATGGAAAACCTTGTCTTTCAGATGGAAGCTCATTTGAAGGTGTAGACTTCTTTTTACCAAAGAAGGAGCCATGAACTCAGTCATTGATCTTGAACTTGGTGGCTTTTCAACAGGGGCTTGGGAAAGTTGAGGGTGTTTTCTGTTCCTGCAGCAGTATCTCCTATCCTCCCCCTGTCCTTCAGAGCTGGGGTCAGCACTGCAGCTTGCAGGTGGGGTGTAGGCTTTTGGGGGCTTTTAGAGTAAGGGTCAAAGGCCAGAAAGAGAATCCCAGCTGAGGGGACTGCTGCAGCTCTGAACACAGTCCCAGCTGCTGCCTCTTTGCAGGGTTGTGTTTTCTTGGGCAGCTGGATTTGGCTTCTGAATCAACATCCCATTAAACCAGGGTTGGTGGTTTGTCCCTTGGAACAGCATTTGACTGGGACTCAGATGATATGGGCTCGGAGAGCAGTTTTGATCCTTTAAATCTATGAAATGATGTCCTATTTATCAAGCACATTTGATTTGGCTCTCAAAATCTTGTGATCACAGTATTATGACCTCATTCACCTATCGGGGAAACGAAGCTCAGAGAGATTGAGTAGCTTCAACCAGGGCTGGCTGAGTCCAGGCTTAGGGCCCTTGTCCTGCTGGCCAGCCCTGTGTTCTCTCAGTCCCTTCTTCTGCAAAACCAAGTCCCTGGCTCCGTTGTCATTGGTCATCTTGGCCAGTGATGCCATTTCAGTCTGGACATGCTGGGATGCCTGCCTAGTGTCACTGGGACACTGCCCTTCTGAATGGGGTCTTTTGGGGAACAGCCCTGGGACGTGGGTTAGTACTGTCACTCGGCCTGTGGCGGGAAAGGGGGTTCTTGGGTTATGCAGGTGCTGGAGGCAAAGGGAGACCCCCAGATCCACAGGTGTTTAGAAGGCAAAGAGACTCCAATCATGTCACACACTTGCGCCTCCTGCAAGCCTCTAGTAGGCCGTGCAGTCTACGATGTGGACAAAAGCAGGGCACTGAGGGTAGCTGGAAGCCTTCCCTGTTGACTAGCTTGTCACCTGCTCCAGGGGAGAGACATTCCTTCCCCTGGAGAAACCTCTCTGGCCCACAGCAGCCCTCCTGATGCTCAGGTGAAAGTGATGGGACCACCTGCAGTGGCAGGTCCCCACTCATTCAGTTGTCCTGGGAGAAACCTAGAGTCAGCTTCAGATACAGATCGCACAGTACAGGAATTAAAAAAGTAGAAAGTGAGAATATTAATGTCAGAAGGCCCCCAGCCAGAGACCCCAAACAGAGAGCTGTGCAAAGGGCTGGTAAGGGCCTCCCTCAAAGCCCATGTCACAGAGCAAGCTCTCCATATCACAAATGAGGTAAGTTGAGGCACAGGTGTATTGAGGATGTGCCCGCATGGGCCCAACAGAGACAGCCTGACTCTGTATTAGTTGTCATAGAAAACAAAGTGGGGGGAAATTAGGTCAGAGACCCCACTGTCCTGACAGGCCAGTGGTTCTCAACTGGCGCTGTTCATTTGACACCCTGGGACATTTGGCAATATCTGTAGAAATTTTTGGTTGTCACAGCTGGGGCAGGGGTTTGCCACTGGCATTGGGTGGCAGAGTCCGGGGATACTGTCAGACATTTTACAGTGCACAGGAGAGCCCCAAACAACAAAGAATGACCGGCCACGGTGTCAGCAGTGCTGAGACTGGGAAACCCTGTGACACTCCCACCCAAGGCCCTGCGGGAGAGCAGGGGAGATGGGGAGGCGTGAGGAAACCGTTGCCAGGGCAGCTGCTGCTCCAGAGGGCTAAGGCCCTGCTTTCACACCAGGAGGGGCTGCATGGAGGTGACCCCCTGGGAGACTGTCACCAGCTGCTCTCGGGCATCTTGCCGAGGTGCCCACTGCACTGGGCTAGGCGTGTTCACCACCACCAATCCTCCTTGAATAATTTCAGAGAGAAGCTCATAAAGCGTTTTAAGAGGTTGGCAAATTACAACTTTAGAAGCACATAAATGCTTCCATAAATGCCAGCCTTGCAAACCAAATCCATGTGGGAGCAGCAAGAGCAGGTTGCCCAAGCCTTGGCAAAGCCCACGTTTCCAGGCAGAAGGGCCAGGGTTTATTTTTGGTTCTTAATTCTCTGGTTCTCCTCTCTCGACTTACTGGTGATATTTAGCTTTGTTCTTCTTATTCCTCCTTGTTCAAAGACTCTGCCATCGGCCATCCCTCTGACCTGTTCAGGGACCAGGAGGGTCAGAGTGGGCTGCCCTGGGCTCCTGATTCTACTGTCACAGGTTTAAGAAGCTGAGGCATCGGAGGGAACTGCCCCCAGCCCCACCCGTGGAGCCAAGCATGCACAATGGCAGGAGACGCTCCATAGCAATATGGCCATTGACTGTTTGGGGGGTTGGTGACGGGGCACTCCCTCATCCCCCATGGCCAGCATGAGGTGGGCAGGCAGGCCTCCTCCTCACGGCCCCATTCGAGGGCTCGTGCCTGTGATCCACAGCCATAAACCATCATCAAAGACTGTCCCCTGAGCCTAACCAGAACTTCTACAGTACCCAGTGGCTTCAAAATACTTTTACTTCTCTTCTTGTTTGGTCCTTGTCATAGCGGTGGGAAGCAGGCAGGGCAGGGTGACATCTCTGCTGTTCCTAGGAGGACACTGAGGATCCCAGGGACGAAGTGACGTGCTCAGCACCACAGGGCACATTATCGGCAGAGCCAGGACTTGAACTGAGATCTCTCATCTGTCTAGTCTGGGTGCCCAGGCTTGACCTCAGTTGTGTGGGGAAGCAGTGGGACAGGGACATAGGGTTTGGCGTCTGAGAGCCCTGGTTTCAGATCCGAGCTCTGCCACTCGCTTCCTGTTCACCGCGAGCAAGTTTCTAAACCATTCTAAGCCCCGGTTTCCACGTGAGTAAAATGAGAATAGTATCGGCCTCCCCCCAGAATTGTTACGGGGTGTAAATTAAACCACTGTGCACGTGGGATACAGCAGGTGCTCTCTGACTTTGAGTTCCCTTCGTTCCCTTTGGCCACGGGGTGGCCCAGGCAAGGGCAGGAGCAGCTGTGAGGGGGCGGAGTGAACGGAGGTGACAGTGGACAGACTGGGCTCCTCAGGGAAAGGTAGGCAGGGAAGGCAGGAATCAAATGTCATTTGCGAGGCCACTCCCGATTTATGGGATGCGGTGCAAAGACTCTTTGAAGGGGCAATAAAATTCATATTCTGCTAGGAAATGACAATAGCTGAGAGTCCTGACTTAGCAGCAAATTCAACAATTTTTTACAAGGCAAAGAATTCTGGATGGGTAGCAAAAATCACATTCTAATGAGATTAGCTTTCTGGGCTAGGACTAGGCTTTCCCAAGAGTAACAGGTGTGTAAGATGCCAACACCCCGTGGAGAGGGTATATAAATGTTCCAGAGAGGCCTCGAGAGTTAGAACCCCAGCTCCTTGCTAAGCTGCGACCTTCCTGTGCTAGCATCATGGCCACCCAGATCTGCACCCCGACCTTCTCCACTGGGTCAGTCAAGGGCCTCTGTGGCACGGCAGGTGGCATCTCTCGGGTGTCCTCCATCCGCTCTGTGGGCTCCTGCAGGGTCCCCAGTTTTGGAGGTGCTGCGGGGTCCGTCTCTTCTGCTAGGCTGGGCCTCTCTGGCCTCGGGAGCTGCTTACCTGGCTCCTACCTGTCCTCTGGGTGCCACCCCTCTGGCTTTGTTGGGACTGGGGGCTGGTTCTGCGAGGGCTCCTTCAACAGCAACGAGAAGGAGACCATGCAGTTCCTGAACGACCGCCTGGCCAACTACCTGGAGAAGGTGCGCCAGCTGGAGCGGGAGAACGCGGAGCTGGAGCGCCGCATCCGGGAGTGGTACGAGTCCCAGATCCCCTACATCTGCCCCGACTACCAGTCCTACTTCAAGACCATCGAGGACTTCCAGCAGAAGGTAATGGCACCTTGGCCCCTTTCCAGCTGAGCAGCCCAACTCCTAGGAGGGGTCTGTCTCATTCCAAGGCCTTCCCAGATGAGACTGTAGCTTTTAGGGAATCCTCCTGGTGGGGTAAGCTTTTCTCTCTAGGGCATTGGTTTCCTGGGGGACGCAGGCTTTTCTGCTGGTCTCTTGCCTGTACCTTGTTGCCAGCCATTCCTCTCCTCCCTGGGCTGTCTCAGCTGTGGGGAGGGAAGGGACATGCCCCAATCCCCTAGTGGGTACAGCCCTGTGCCTGGAACTTTCCTATCCACTGGCTTACTTATTCCTCACCTTGGAGAGATGAGTATTACTGGGCCCATTTAACAGATGTGGAAGTTGACTTTTGAGAGGTTCAGCAACTTGCCCAAGATTACACAGCCCGAGTGTTAGATGCAGAGCCTGAATCCAGGTCTGCCCCACCCTGGTCTATCCTGCTGTGCCTCTCTGGGGCTACACATGCCAGGACCACGGCCACTGACTTTGTTGCGATGGCCTTCCTGGGGTCGATCCTCCCACCACACCTGGGGTCTGGGCTGAAGGTGCTGGTGGTACCTAGGAGCATGGCCCCCACACTGCCCAGCCTTCCCCAGCTCATGTGAAGCCCCCTGTCCCCCAGATCCTGCTGACCAAGGCTGAGAACACCAGGCTGGTCCTGCAGATTGACAATGCCAAGCTGGCGGCCGACGACTTCCGGACCAAGTGAGTGGGCCTGATCAGGGGAGGTTTGCTGTGACATTCCCTTGCTCTGTCCCCTGCCTTTGGGAGCTGGGGAGGTGGGAATGTGGCCAGATGGGGCTATAAATGGGAAAGTGTGGCACAGGTCCTGGATCCCTCCCAGGTTAAGGGCAAGGTCCACCACGTTCCCGACCCTGAGTCAGCCCCTGCAGCTGGACAGTAGGGGCCCCGCCTGTGGGCGGCTTCCCTTGCCGCAGACTTGGCAGGTCTCCATGTTTGCAGGTACGAGACTGAGCTGTCTCTACGGCAACTGGTGGAGGCCGACATCAACGGCCTGCGCAGGATCCTGGACGAGCTGACCCTGTGCAAGGCCGACCTGGAGGCTCAGGTGGAGTCCCTGAAGGAGGAGCTGATGTGCCTGAAGAAGAACCACGAGGAGGTGAGGCTGGTGCACATGACCTCCCGACGATTGCCATCCAGCTTAGAGACCCACGGCTGGCCCTGGGCCTCCTGTGTGCCAGGAATTACACAAAACCCTTTGAATGTCATTTTTGTTTCATTTTGTCCTTACAATAGTCCCAGGAGGTATAAACTATTACTTGCTCCATTTTATAGATGAAAAAACTGAGGCACAAAGAGGTTATCACTTGCCTAAGTTCATACAGAGCTCACACTCCTACTCGTGACACTAAATCTCCATCTGGGCTATATAGTGCCTGGTAGCAGCGATTCTATTTGCTTGGTGCTTGTGTTATTTCACTTGTCTCTCTCAGAGAGGTTAAGTGTCCTGTCTAATGTTACACAGCTGGCAACAGAGGGAGGAGGGTTTGCACCCAGGTCAGTTGAACCCCCAATCCAGCATCCATTCCATAACCTCATGCCATCTTGCGTCTTCTCTGCAGGAAGTCAGTGCACTGCGTGGCCAACTTGGGGACCGACTGAATGTGGAGGTGGACGCTGCCCCACCTGTGGATCTCAACAAGGTCCTGGATGAGATGAGATGTCAGTACGAGGCCCTGGTGGAGAACAACCGCAGAGACGTGGAGGCCTGGTTCAACACCCAGGTGGGGCTGGGGCTGCCTGGGACCACACGCTCCTGGGGTGGGGTGACCCTGTACATAGTTGCCCTGGTCTGACCGTGCTCTGTGTCCCCTTGTATTTTAGACCGAGGAGCTGAACCAGCAGGTGGTGTCCAGCTCGGAGCAGCTGCAGTGCTGCCAGACGGAGATCATCGAGCTGAGACGCACGGTCAACGCCCTGGAGATCGAGCTGCAGGCCCAGCACAGCATGGTGAGTGGCCTCTGCCTTGGTGGCTGGCCACACTCGGGGCAGGCCCCTGCGCCACTGGCCTCAGCGTGCAGGCTCTCACGGGGCGAGATTAAAGGCCATACACAGACTCTCAGGGCTGATGTTCTTGGGGTGGGATTCCTTCCCATTGTCAGCTTCTCCTCTTTCTCATTGCAGCGGAATTCCCTGGAAAACACGCTGGCGGAGACGGAGGCCCGCTACGGCTCCCAGCTGGCCCAGATGCAGTGCCTGATCAGCAACGTGGAGGCCCAGCTGGCCGAGATCCGCTGCGACCTGGAGCGGCAGAACCAGGAGTACCAGGTGCTGCTGGACGTGAAGGCCCGGCTGGAGTGCGAGATCAACACGTACCGCCGCCTGCTGGAGGGCGAGGACTGCAAGTGAGTGGCCCCGGGCCCTGAGAGCCAGGCTGTGGGAGGGGGGTGACTCAAGCCTGGGTGCCGCATGGAGGGTGCCAGTCCCACAAGTGGTTTTCGCACAGATGGAGGGGGTCGAGCCAAAGCCCCTCCAGATTCCTTCTGGCCCCAGGCTTTGGTAATGCACAGGGGTAGAGCCAACCCCCCCCCCCCAACTCTTCTGCAACCACTGCTTTTGATTGTTAGTTTCTGGTCTTCATTCCTGCAGCCCGATCCTCCCACCCTTGGGGAGTTCAAAGGCACTGAAAAGGTCTGAGGCCATCAGTCTCTTTGGTCCCCTAAATCTGTTTATCACGAATCTGAGTCCAGCACCCTGATGCCAAGTGCACCCTGCATGGTTTCATTTCCACAGGCTTCCTGCCCACCCCTGTGCCACGGAGTGCAAGCCTGCCGCTAGAGTTCCTTATGTCCCCTCCGTGCCCTGCGCCCCGGCCGTTCCCTGCACTCCGGCCCCCCAGCTCAGCGCTCAGATCCGCACCATCACTGAGGAGATCAGGGACGGGAAGGTCATCTGCTCCAGGGAGCACCTGCAGCCCCGGCCGCTGTGAGCGCCTGGCGAGAGCAGGGCCTGCGCCACGGGGAGGAGGACACCCCTGTGGTTCCTGGCTGATACATGACCACACCCTCCCCTAGAGGGGACCCCCACCCTCCCGCTTGGCAAGTTTTTCTACCAAAATACTTCTCGTATTGTGTTTCTGAACTTCACTATGCTTTTACGCCATGCAAAACCAGGTTTCCTGAAAATTTACCCAATAAAGTGTGTCCTCTTGGCATAGCAAATGTGACCCTGGCTGCTTCTGTTCATTCCCATGTGGTTAGTTCGTGAAGGTGTTTGGTCTGGGCTTGCAGTAAAGTTGAGGGTTTTGGTTTTAGGTCTGTCTTCTCAGGGTCTGAGTGGTAGAAGTGGCAGGGTGACCTGAAATGGTTAAGAACGGGGACACCTCAGCCCTGGCCAGCGAGGACACTGTCCCAATCTGGATGGGTGCTGGCCATGCTCAGCCCTGCCGGTGGGTGCCGTCCTTTTCGGTAGCCTTGCTTCGTGGGTCGGGTGGCTACCTCTCTTTTCCTTTCAGCTTCTTCTCCCTCGCCCAATGCCTGTCATCCTGCTGCCTGACACTGGGGACAGTTCAGGAGAGGGGGACCAGTGCTGAGGTCTGGGCAGCCAGCCTGAGCCAACCACAGCAGACAGGGGAGCCGGGGAGCTAGAGGTGAAAATGGAGGGCCAGCGAATCCACATCCCCAACCAGGGACATAGAGCTGAAGTGAAGGGTGCCAGGGACACTTGGGGGTGGGGGACACAGGCACACTGTGGAGCAGAGTCCAGAGTGCCCCGAATTCCACTGTCTGAGTCATGTGGGCCTGGTTGGGTGGCCTGAACATGCCAGGCCCCAGCCCCCCCTCTGATCAGAGAAGCATGGCCTGGGAGAAGTCTGGGGGCCCACGCTGGCGGCTCTGTCCCCTGCCGCAGTCGTCAGCTGAGAACACAGGCCCAGCGAGGGCAGTGATTTGCCCCAGCCACACAGTGGTGAGTGGCAGAGCCTTGGCCGTTACTCAGCTGCTCTGACCCCGACTCTGGAGCTCTCCCCAGCACGCAGCCCCCACCCATGCCCCGCTTTGGCTCTTACTGAGGCCAAGACCCTCGTTACGAGAGAGACCTGGCCCTGACCTACGTTACCAGGTGCCGAACACGAATCCCTTCAACCACCAGCTGGGCCAGCCAGAGGTGCAGCGCACACATCTCAGACCTCGGGAGAAGGTGTGCCCAGGCAGAATTAGATTATACTCCACGGAAAGCTATTGCTGGGTGGTTCGTGCCCAGTCCAGGTCATGTGACTGCTCTGGTCTCAGCGGGTTCATCTGTGAAATGGGGCTGCAGGGATGCTTCAATGGGACAATGTGTGGACAGCATCCTAAGAGTGGTAGCTATCAGTGTTGGTGTTAATAAAAATGAAGAGTCTTGGGCCCAGAGTAGGGAATGGGAAATGTCACTGGGTGGGCCAAGCTCTTTGCTTTGGAACTGGCGGGATGCTGGGGTGGGGCGGGGCTGTGCTGTCAGCAGTGTCCTTGGAGCTGGAGAGTGAACTCGAGGCCTTGGCCTCAAAGGACCCGCTCGGGTTTCAGTAGGAGGGCCAGCCCACCTGGTTCTCACCCCGCCCTGCCATGTCCCCTTCTGTGCTCCACGTCTGCTCTGGGACCTGAGGTCTGTACCCCTGGCTCTGGCCTGAGGCCCAGGAGATGAGAGCCGGGTGTCTGGGTGTGCAGAGAGCGTCACATCGCTGCGTGGAAACAGCCAGGACTCAGGGAATGGACCGAACCTTCCGATCGGGGGAAGCAGCCTCGTCACTGCGTTAGAGCAGAGGGACCCGCCTAGGGCTATGACCTGACAGGTAATCATGGCGACGCCTCCCACTGTACAGCACGTTCCCTTTTTTATGATCACTCTACAGTCTACAGCGGACACTCAGCAGCCTCATCTCATGCACAGAAACAGCCCTGGGTGGTCGTGGGCGCTTTATTTATGCATCTTTGCTTGGCTCTTGATGAAATTGTCCAGAGCATCTGTGTTAGTTACGACGGACCCCTCCTGCTCTCAACCTCACACACCCTTAGCTGAGGTGCAGTTGAAGTCACTGACCCACGAGCAAACCAGCACGCAGCGCTGTCGTGGAGGAGGAACCGACTGTGCAAACTCACACAGCAAGTGGCAGCCTTAGGGCACCTTCTCAGGTCTTTGGACTCCTAGTTCACTGATATCAAGAAAGAGATGATATAAAATGATACATTTTATAAAATTGCCCCAGAGTGAACATGATATTTTATTTCAACGCAGTCTGATCTTTTGTACTTCCCAGATATGACATCTGGCTGTCTTTCTCCTTTGCACATACTCACACGTCAATTAATCAGTTAAGAGATAATGGGCAGAACACCACGTGGGCAGCAGGCCCGGTCCTCGTGCCAGGGCTCACACAGGGAGAAGCAGGGGTGGCGGAAGCGGCTGGGACAGAGAGAGGATAACAGGACAGGCGCAGTGCCCAAGGTGCTGGCGTCCAGGTGGAGACGCTCCCCCACCCCCACACTCCCAGCGACAGCACCAGGGACGGCAAGAGTGGGTGTGGGGCAGGAGGGGGAGAGACCAGGAGCTGGGGTGACCAGGAAAGCTTTAGGGCAGATTCGGATTAGACAGAAACCTTTAAGGATGGGCAGAAAGGGAGGAAGGAGGGCAAAGGGTATTTCTGGGCATGCTAAAGGTATTCGTGGCATGTTCTGGGGACAGTGTGGACCCCATATGAGCACAGTGCTAAGATCCTGTAAAGAAAGTTATTCTGATACTGGCTAAATAATGATAGCTCTGGCTGATAAGGGGTTCTAGGTAATTATTTCATTCTTTTCAAAAAGAAAGGAAATAGACCAGAGCAATCGAATGTTTACTCCATAGCTTTCAAAACATTACTTATGTGCTTTATAAAGTTATCTAAAAATCTTATCAGAAATTTTTAAGCCACACCTGTAGCACTGAATTGGCTTATAGGATCTGTCTCCCATGGGCAGAATGGCTTAGGGTCTGGAAAACACCTCGTTCCCTGCCAAAGGGGCTGCCTAGTCTGGGCAGGTGCTCACCTACGCAGCGATGCCTGCCCCTTCCGTCGCCGGCCTCACCTTCCTCGTCTCTAAGAGTAGGATCAGTAAGGCCGACTTTGCCAGTGTTTCTCCCCACCCACACTCACTCTTTCTTTCCTTCCATTCATCTTCTCCTCCCTTTCTTTGCTGCCTTCCTCTTAAAATCATTTCATTTCTTTGTTTCCTTACTGAACATCATTCACCATGGGCAAATCATTCATTCATTCATTCATTCACCCAGAGATATCAGAAGGCCAGCACTGGGCCTGACGCTGCAGAGACTTCATTCAAGAAAAGTATGAGGTCGGTCCTCAGGGTCAAGCCCCCCAGCGTGCCGTCTACCTGGGAAGACAGGGCTGGAATGCGAGACAATTGGGGGCATCCGTTAATGCAGGGCCAATGAATCCAGCACAGTCACTGTGGGGTGCACTCAGAGTCGGGCACGGCTGCAGGGAGAAGGCCTGGCTGGGATGGTCCCACAGGCGGTGGGGCAGGCGTGAGGGTTGGAGCTGGAAGTCCTGGGCTTCAGCTTCCCTGGGAAGCCCGTGTGGACTTGGCTAAGCCATTCTCCACCTTGACCTTTGGGTCCTCCCGTGGGGGCCAGTATCTTTCCATCCACATTTGTTTTGCAGGGTGTGTGAGGGGCTTAAAGAAGGCAGTGCACCTTGAATGGCAGTACAAACGCCAGCTCTGCTGTGACCCCAGGACGGCTCCTGAAATGTTCCAAGCCTCAGTTTACTCATCTATTAAGTGGGGCTGTTGGTGAGGGCAGTGTCATGGGGTTGCGTGAGGACTAAAAGAGAGAATGCATGGAGAGAGCTCCGCGTGGGGCCTGGCGGGTACTGAGTGCTCCGAGAATGGTGACTTGCACTGATAGCCTCGTTATTAATAGGGTTGCGTGGAGAGAGCAAAGCTGAACAGCCCTGGAATCCCCCTCTGCGCAGGGCAGCGCAGGCGTGGCGCCCTCCTGGGAACCCATGTGGCCCCTGGGGCAATGCAAACAGCTGGGGGCTCTCACAAGGGCTGCTCTGGGCCTGTGGCTCTAGGGTGGCCCTTGCTGACCCCAGAGGTGTCTCCAGGAGGTGGCGGTAGGGCTGGGCAAAGCCCTGTATCCACATGGGTGGGAAATACAAGGAGGCTCAGCCAGGCTGTCAGCTCAGCTGCGTCCTTTGCACCGGGCATGGATGCCCAGGGTGGAGAGGCTGAGGCAGCCAATGGGACCCTGGGATGGTGCAGGTGGGTGCCAGCCACACCAGGCCCCTGGGTGTGGGAAGGGCATGGTGACTCACGGGAGCTCTATAGCTGAGGGCCCCAAAATATGGACCTGGCCCGTGGGATGGTGGCCTGTGTGCTCAGAGCCGGTCCACACTCTGTAGTGACAGCCGCTTAGCATCCCCAGTCTCAGTTGAACAGCATTCCACTTGCCCGGGGACCAGCAATCACAGCAGCTGCTGTTACCGAGCACTCGCCATGAGCAGGTGCCGTCCTCGATGCTCCAGGCTCCTTTAATCCTTGCAGCAGCCTAAGCGAGTAGGTACTATTATTCCCTTTTCATTTTACAGAAGGGGAAACAGAGAGAGACAGCCAGGGAGGTTAAGGTACACAGTTGGCTTCTGGTGGGGCTGGGATTTGGACCCACAAATTCACATGTGACCACGAAGCTGTGCTGCTTCTCCTGGGACACCAGAGGGTGTTGGCCATGCCCTTGTGGAGCCCACCCCGATTCTCTTTCCATCTCCCATAGACCCCAGTCATACCCAGCAGCACAGGATGGGATTGTGGAGCAGGAGTGGGGGAGGGGGGCAGTTAGTGGAGAGGGCCAGGTGAGGGTAGCACCTTGGCTCTGCCAGTCACCAGCCAGGGGCACTCTGGTGATCTCTTATCATCTCTGAGTCTTGATTTATCCAGCTTCAAGGTGGAGGTAATTAGCTCAGGCTCGCAGAACAGTTCTGCGGAGTAAGTGAGCCCACATGTGGGAACTGCCCAGCACTGTGACTGGGTTACTGCTGGTGCTCTGCTCACGGTTGTTCTGTTTATGGGAAGATAATCAATGTCACTAAAAGAGTGCACAGGACCCCAAACCACAGGGCAGGACAGAGGGCAAGTAGCACAGGTTCCACTTGATGGGCCACCTGGGGTTCCACCTGGGGCCCCAGCCCCAGCTCCATCCTCCCTCTCGCCCAGTCCCCAGCCCCTTTTCCCAGCCTCCCTTGCTTGGCAGATGGGATTTGTGAGATGCCATGTCGGGCTCCCCAGGCATCAGCTCAGTCAAATCCTGCAGCAGAGATGAAACCATGAGGGTCAGGCTCCTTGTGCTTCCAGAGAAGGCCTGTAGATCAAGACCCCCCAATCCCAGTCAGGACACCAGAAGGAAGGGCTACTCCATGGGCAGGGCAGGGGCAGACCTGCCCTCCGGCACGTGGCTGTAGGTGTCATCATGGGCAGGTGCCCAATTAACTGACCTCTAGCCGCTGTGGCCAGAGCTGAGGCTGTGCACAGCCAGAACAGATTTCCTGGCAAGGGAGGGAGTAGGGATGTGTCCATCAGGGCTCTGCTCTGTTTAGGGTGACCAGCTGTCCCATCTTGCCCAGGACTGAGGGTTCCCTGGCATATGGGACTTTCAGAACTAAAACTAGAAAAGACCCCTTTTTTCCTGCGACCACCAGGCTCACTCTTCTGTCTCCCGGGAGCCAGCCCAGAGGCCTCCTCTCCTCCCTTGGCCCATAAAAGGAGAGAAAGCTGGGAAAGTCAGGACTGGACTCCCACGCCTGTTAACGAGGGGCTGAGGTCTGGGCTCAGATGACAGGCCCGTTTGAAGAACTGAGGGAGACTTGGTCTTCCCGGCGACGTGGGTGCTGGAGGTCTTGACAGAGCTGCCAGTCCCATGGGGCTGCTGTTTTACGAGCCCAGGAAATGTTCACGGGCAGCTAAATAACAGGTTAATGAAGGGTTTTGATAGAAAGTGGTATTAACTTTAATGAGGAGAAAACACTTTGTAAAGGCCAACTAACGCCCACTGGGGCAGAAATATAAACCAGAGCGTGGAGCTGCTTCTCTGCTTCCGGGGGTGTCTGGCTGCGGAGACCGATTCCTTGTGTCTGGGGCTGCTGAGCTCATGGCTTCCAAGTGCCTCAAGGCCGGCTTCTCTTCTGGGTCTCTCAAGAGCCCGGGAGGGGCCGGCGGGGCCTGCTCTCGCGTGTCCACGATGTACTCCAGCAGCTCTTGCCAGCTCCCGAGTCTCTCCCGTGGGTCCCGAAGTTTCTCTGCGTGCTCAGCTGGGCTGGGCAGAAGCAGCTACAGGGTGGCCAGCTGCCTCCCTGCGCTCTGCCTCCCCGCCGGAGGCTTTGCCACCAGCTACAGCGTGGGTGGGGGCTGGTTTGGGGAGGGCATCCTCACCGGCCACGAGAAGGAGACCATGCAGTCCCTGAACGACCGCCTGGCCAGCTACCTGGAGAAGGTGCGCCAGCTGGAGCAGGAGAACGCCAGCCTGGAGAGCCGCATCCGGGAGTGGTGTGACAAGCAGGTCCCCTACATGTGCCCTGACTACCAGTCCTATTTCCGGACCATCGAGGAGCTCCAGAAGAAGGTAAGAGGTACAGAGTGGCTTCGGGTGCCCAGGAGCTTGGGGTCACCAGCATTGGTAGTTCTGTTCCCATGGGGCACTTTGGAGGTCACAAAGCATGTTCACACCTGTGGCCTCATTTGTTCCTCCCAATAACCTTATGAAGGAGGGTTCATCAGCCCATTATACCGATGAGAACAATGAGGCTTAGGCTGGTTAAGTGACCCAGATGGCAGTTAGTGGAGCCAGAACATAGGCTCTATGAACGAACTGGTTGTGTGACTTTTGGTACCATTGCACATCTCTTTGAGCTTTCATTTCCCCATTTTTCTAAGGTGATGGGATTTAGATTTTATGTATTTGGTGTAGATCAGGTTTCCCATAAATGACTTAGGAAAAAAACACCTCTCAGAGAAGTTTCCTCCTTGCCCAACCCACATTCCTGAAGTCACAGCTGGTTCTTGAGAGGGACCTTTTATGAGCAGAGAATCACAGGGGACACTGCTGGCAATGACATGCCCAGAGCCCATAGTAGGCTGGTGAAACAGGGAGACAGAAAGGCAGGAAGAAGCCTCTTTCTTGCCACACCAGGCTGTTCTTCTGGCACATCCATGGCTATCTTCTGATCCTGGGTCTCGGGTCACAGATGCGCTGCATTGGAGGGGACTCTAAAGGTTCCATAGTTGATCCCTGCAGCATGCCCACCAGCCCTCCTGGAACCCTCGGTGTCCAGGACGGGTGACTCCCTTCCCTCCAGAAGCAGCCCCTGCCAGTTCTGGGGAGCTCCAATCAGCAGATGTCCTTTTTAGCACTGAAATCACTTCTTTATGTCCCCAGACCCTGTGCAGCAAGGCAGAGAACGCCAGGCTGGTGGTGCAGATCGACAATGCCAAGCTGGCTGCAGACGACTTCAGGACCAAGTGAGTGACCTTGCTTGCCCTACGGTTGGGGGCCGGTAGAACTGGACACCGGGTTTTGGCTGTACTCTGTGACTCGTGCACTCTGTGACTGAGGTGTGAAGGCAGGACCCATAGCACCTGGCCACTCTGGGCACAGAGCTGACTTAGATACAAAAAGGAAATGCAGATGCAGGTTCCCTGTTCTGTGCCTGCAGGTATGAGATGGAGGTCTCCCTGCGGCAGCTGGTGGAGTCAGACATCAACGGCCTGCGCAGGATCCTGGATGACCTGACCCTGTGCAAGTCTGACCTGGAGGCCCAGGTGGAGTCCCTGAAGGAGGAGCTGCTCTGCCTCAAGAAGAACCACGAAGAGGTGAGCCTGGGGGAGCAGGCATGCCTGGGGGAGCAGGTGTGCCTGGGGGAGCAGGTGTGCCTGGGGGAGCAGGTGAGCATGGGGGAGCAGGTGTGCCTGGGGGAGCAGGTGAGCCTGGGGGAGCAGGTGTGCCTGGGGGAGCAGGTGAGCCTGGGGGAGCAGGTGAGCAGGGGGAGCAGGTGTGCCTTGGGGAGCAGTGAGGCTGGGGGAGCAGGTGTCCTTGGGGGAGCAGGTGAGGCTGGGGGAGCAGGTGAGCATGGGGGAGCAGGTGAGGCCGGGGGAGCAGGTGAGCATGGGTGAGCTGGTGCACCTGGGGGAGCAGGTGAGCATGGGGAGCAGGTGAGCCTGGGGGAGCAGGTGAGCATGGGGAGGAGGTGAGCATGGGGAGCAGGTGAGCATGGGGAGGAGGTGAGCATGGGGGAGCAGGTGAGCATGGGGAGGAGGGGAGCATGGGGAGCAGGTGAGCATGGGGAGGAGGTGAGCATGGGGAGCAGGTGAGCCTGAGGGAGCAGGTGAGCATGGGGAGGAGGGGAGCAGGGGGAGGCAGCATCTGAGAAAGCGAGTGCTGACCCTGGTCTGTACCACAGGAAGTGAACTCACTGCGCTGCCAGCTTGGTGACCGGCTCAACGTGGAGGTGGACGCTGCCCCACCTGTTGACCTGAACCGAGTCCTGGATGAGATGAGGTGCCAATATGAGACCTTGGTGGAGAATAACCGCCGGGATGCTGAAGACTGGTTTGACACCCAGGTAGGCACCTGCAAACAGTCGGAGCAACAGTGCAACACTGTGGGTCACAGGGAAGTGACCCTGGGGCTCTGAATTGAGAAACCTGAGTTTGAGTCCCTGTCCTGTTTCAACTTTGCTGTGCAATGTTGGGCAGATTGCTGTTCTCGAAGCGACAATGTCCTCTGGTGTGAAATGAATGGGTTGGACTGGGTGATCTGGAAGGTCCTTCTGGGCTTGGGGTTCTCACTGGCCTCTGTAGATCTCTGAGTCTGAGTCCCTAGTGCTCCTGAGGAGGGCCTGTGTGTGCGTGTTTCAGACCGAGGAGCTGAACAAGCAGGTGGTGTCCAGCTCGGAGCAGCTGCAGTCCTGCCAGGCGGAGATTGTCGAGCTGAGACGCACGGTCAACGCCCTGGAGATCGAGCTGCAGGCCCAGCACAGCATGGTGAGCCTCGAGGTGGGGTTGGGGAGCTGCTGCTGGACCAAGCCTAGAAGCACATGAGACCCCAGATTCCATGCTCTGACCACATAGGCAGGCTCCAGGGTTCAAGTTCTTGAGCATCAGGGCAGAGAAGAGGGAATGAGGGCTCAGCCCCTATCACAGATGCCCCAGCAGAGAAAGGCAAGAGGCCTGCAGCAGCTGGCATGTTTTGGCAGTGGTTCCTGTATATGCGTAAGCAGATGTGTCTTCTGAGTAATTATCAATTACTCAGAGATGACATTAATAGGAAGATACTCTCTAGGCCAGGAAAGCTTGCAAAGGCTAATTGGCTCATATCAGATGAGATGTCTGATTGTGATCATCCTAGCTTGAAGTGATTCTCTGAGCCTCTCTTCCTAGATTTTGAGGCCTCACTGAGAGCCAGATGGATCTTCCTTGCTCCCTCTCTGACCTCTAACCTTCTTCCTGCCTACATCACCTGTGTCCTCACAGAGAGACGCTTTGGAATCCACCCTGGTGGAGACAGAGGGCCGCTACGGCACCCAGCTGTCCCAGGTGCAGTGCATGATCACCAGTGTGGAGGCCCAGCTGGCCGAGATCCGGGCCGACCTGGAGCGGCAGAACCAGGAGTACCAGGTGCTGCTGGACGTGCGGGCCCGGCTGGAGTGCGAGATCAACACGTACCGGGGCCTGCTGGAGAGTGAGGACAGCAAGTGAGTATCAGGGCGTGTTCTCTTCTTCTGAACGCCATCTGCAGAGTTCTGGGGACAGACAGCAGGAAGCCTGGGAAGAGCCAGGCATTTGGAATCAGGAGCTCTGGGTTTCAGTTCTGGTCTTGTTACAAACTCATCACGTGACTCCAGCAAGCCCCCTTTCCCTCTCTGGGTCTCTGTTTCCCCTTTGGTAAAACAAGGGACAGAATGGGGTGATTTTTAAGGTGACTTTCTGTTTGCATATTCTGGGATCTGCTCTGAGTTGTTGAAAACAGCAACTGGAAAACCATAGCATTCTGTGTCTTTTTTTCTCCTAGGCTGCCCTGTAACCCGTGTGCCCCTGACAGTTCGCCCTCCAAGTCGTGCCTCCCCTGTCTTCCTGCGGCCTCCTGTGGTCCCAGCGCCATCCGCACAACCTGCAGCCCCCGCCCTATCTGTGTGCCCTGCCCAGGGGGCCGGTTCTGAGAATGCTGACCCAGAAGGCCACGGCCATCATCTCCGGATGAGGTGGACCTGGCCTCTACTGAACCCTAACCCTCATAGCCTAATCCCCTCTCTTGGCGCAGAGCTCAGGCCCAGATTCTGGCCCTGGGAGGGCTCACTGCAAACACACCTTACATTTCTCAGAGCCCTCACTAAGGCTGGCTGCCCCGAAGGCCTCCACTCCTCATCATTTCAATGGGTGCCAGGGTCTCTGTGTTTAGACTGCCTCCTGGGCCAGGTATTCCTTCTGGGTGCTGTTCCAGTAGGTTCTGAAATGCAATAGAGGGCTCCTGTTGGTGGAACAATAAAACGCATTTGCTCTGGCTCCTAATACCTCACTTACTTCTGGTGTTGTTGGTTTGTGTCTCTGCAGAGTTCAGAGGGTGACTCTTGGGTAGATAGGGGATGCTTGGGGGATGCTTGCCCAAGTGTGACCCTTGGGATAACAGGGTCAACATCTTTGATGTTACTAATGTAATCGTTTTGGGGTGTCATGAACAGTGCCCATAAAAGATGGTGAACTTAATCGATAAGGGTTGTGTGTCCTGACTATTCTACTGACCAGCCATTCCTCCATCTCTCTGCCTCTCCTTGGGTTTCCCTATTCCCTGAGACACAATATTGAAATTGGGCCAGTTAATAAGCCTACAATGGCTTCTAAATATTAATATTTGAGTGAAAGGAAGAGTCACATATCTCTCCCTTTAAATCAAAAGCTAGATGTGACTAAGCTTAATGAGGAAAGCACAGTGAAAGCTAAGATAGACCGAGAGCTAGGCCTCTTGTGCCAAACAAGTAGCCAAGTTGTTAATGCAAAAGAAAAGTTCTTAAAGGAAATTAAAAGTGCTATTCAAGTGTATACAGGAATGATAGGAAAGCAATTCATGACCTTATTGCTAACATGGAGAATGTTTTAGTGGGCTGGATAGAAGATCAAACCAGCAACAACATTCCCTTAAGCAAAAGCTGAATCCAGAGCAAGGCCCTAACTCTCTTCAAGAGAGGTGAGAAAGCTGTAGAAGAAAAGTTTGGAGCTAGCGGAGGTTGGTTCATGAGGCTTAAGAAAAGAAGACATCTCTTCTTGACATAAAAGTGCAAAGTGAAACAGGAAGTGCTGATGTAGAAGCTACAGCAAGTTACCCAGAAGTTCTAACTAAGATCATTGATAAAGGTGGCTACACTAAACAACATATTTTCAAAGCAGATGAAACAGCCTTCTATTAGAAAAAGATGCCACCTATGACTTTCATAGCTAGAAAGAAGTCAGTGGCAGGCTTCAAAGCTTCAAAGGACAGGCTGTCTTGTTAGGGGCTAATGTAGCTGGTGACTTAAAGTTGAAGCCAGTGCTCATTTACCATTCCAAGAATCCTAGGGCTCTTAAGAATCATGCTAAATCTACTCTCCCTGTGCTCTATAAATGGGACAACCAAGCCAGGAGGAAAGCACATCTGCTTACAGCATGGTTTAATGAATATTTTAAGCCTAGTGTTGAGACCTACTGCTCAGAAAAAAAGATTCCTTTCAAAACACTGCTGCCCACTGAGTGACAATGCACCTGGTCACCCAAGAGCTCTGATGGAGATGTACAAGGAAATTAATGTTGTTTTCATGCCTGCTGATACAACATCCATTCTGCAGCCCATGGATCAAGAAATAATGTTGAATTTCAAGCATTATTTAAGAAATAAATTTTGTAAGGGTATAGCTGACACAGACAGTGATTCTTCTGATGGATCTGGGCAAATATATTTTCTATTTACTTTGAAAGGATCAAAGTAAATACTTTGAATGGCACCTAGAATGGTAGATGCCATTAAGAATATTCATGATTCACGGGAGGAGGTTAAAATATTAACATTAACAGGAGTCTGGAAGAAGTTGATTCCAACTCTCATGGATGACTTTGAGGGGTTCAAAACTTTAGTGGAGGAAGTAACTTCAGATATGATAGAAATAGTATGAGAAGTAGAATTAGAAGTGGAATCTGAAGATGTGACTACATTGCTGCAATCTCATGATAAAGCTTGAATGCATGAGGAGTTGCTTCTTACGGAAGCAAAGAAAGTGGTTTCTTGAATTGGAAACTACTGCTGGTGAAGATGCTGTGAGCATTGTTGAAATGACAACAAAGGGCTTAAATATTATATAAACTTAGTTGATAAAACAGTGGCAGGGTTTGAGAGGATTGATTCCAATTTTGAAAGAAGTCCTTCCGTGGGTAAAAGGCTACCTAATGGCATCATGTGCTACAGAGAAATCTTTTGTGAAAGGAAGAATCAATTGATGTGGCAAACTTCAATGTTTTCTTATTTTAAGAAATTGCTGTAGCCATCCCAACTTCCAACAATCACCACCCTGACCAGTCAGCAGCCATCAACACTGAGTCAAGACCCTCCACCAGCAAAAAGATTACAACTTGTTGAAGACTCAGATGATCGTTAGCATTTTTTAGCAATAAAGTATTTTTAAATTAAGGTCATGTCATTGTTTCTTTAGACATAGTGCTATTGCACACTTAACAGACTGCAGTATGGTGTACACATAACTTTTATATGCACTAGGAAACAAAAAGCTTTGTGTTATTTGCTTTATTGCAATATTTGCTTTATCGCGGTGGTCTGGAACTGAACCCTATATCCTCCTCTACCTCTATGGTTCTCAAAGCCACTTTAGGACGTGCTAAACACAGATTGCTGGGCCCCACCCTCAGAGTTTTTGCTCGAGCAGGTCTGGGATGAGTCTGAAAAGTTGCCTTTCTAACATGTTCCTGAGTGATGTGGATGCTGCTTGTCTGGGAAACACACTGTGAAAACCACCGATACGCCTTATTATTAATACAATAGTAATTATCTTACAGTGTTTTGGAGGAAAGAACTAAATGGGCAAATTCATGCCAAGCACCCGGCACCGCGTCTGGCACTTCTATACATTCAGTAGGCGCTGGCTGTGATTTAGAGGGTGTCCTGAAGAGTCTCATTCTGTGCAGCTGGTATTGCCGTCAGCCTCCATCCATCTGATGCTGCTGTCTTCCCTAAACGGGCAGTCCAGACAAGGTACAAGGATCTACAGTTGTTGCAGAGGAGCAAATTGTGAGATTATTTCATCCAACCCTTTCAATCTGCACGAGGAAACTGAGGCCCAGAGAGGCAAAGTGACTTTCCCAAGGCCACATGGCAAATTCACAGGCAGCATCTATATCCTGACATTTTTTAAGCAATGAAAGGGCTGGGTGGCATTTTCCATTTCCTGCTCCTTTATCAACACTTCTGGGAATTATATGAAATTTGAGATAAGTACTTATATGCCAACATTATATTGAGAAGATTAGTGAACAAATAGTGGCTATAAAACACACACACATTACACACGAAGGGTGCGAGCTCACAGTGTTTGCAGCCAGGACTGAAAACCACTGCTTTTGAATGTTGCTTTCTTAGGTCACTGCCCAAGGCTTCTATAATTGGGGACCCCTGTCCCCCGATCTCCTGGCTTAGCTCCTCTTAGGGCTGCAGTGGCCCTTCCCAAGGGAGTGGATTCACATGACTTCCATGCTGGGAGGTCCTGAAGTGAGCCCTCCCTGTCTGCCACTGCAGAGAGTAAAAGTAGAGCCTGTTCCAACTGTTCCATGTCTGTCTGGTCCCAAACAATAATGGAGCACTCAGCATCTCTGTACATGGCGCAGCGACAATCAGTGGAGGATCCGGGGAGGTCAAGACAGAGCATCTGCCTCCTGGAAATGTTCATGGTACAAATCTGCTTTTCCAAGAGGAAGGTCCAGCTGGAGAGATATTCCTGATTCTTAGGCTTTCTGTCTGTCTTCTAAATTTTCTTTGGGAGGGGTGCACCGTCCCTGAAAGTACTGCAATACCAGGTCGATGCATGGAGTGGGTGGAGCAAGCTCCTATTCCATCTCCCTGCTCCAAAAATCCATTTAATATATTGTCCTCGGATAGAGGACGTATCAGATATTAAACTGATAAGAACAGATACTACACTTGATCTTAGCCAAACAGCCGAGAGGCAATCTGTCTGTGTCTTCAGTTCATTCTGTCCTCCCTCCCTTATAATTATTTTCTTCTCCTTGGTGGGTGGTGATGTATGTCAGGAAGCCTCTGAGGTTGCTTTTCATTTCTCCCTGGATTTATGATCAGAGCAGCTTCTGTCACCCACACATTTCCTCATTAAGTGGCCAGGCCTCTTCCCACGGGGAATGCTGTCTTTACAACAGCGGCTGCCCCCAGCCCTATGGCTTTTTCAGGGCTGGAGCAAGTGGGGTGCAGTGGGCCCAGGAGAGGTGCAGTGGGCTGGGCCCAGGAGAGGTGCAGTGGGCCCAGGCGGGGCACAGGGCATATAGGCGGGGTGCAGTGGGTACAGGCGGGGCGCAGTGGGCCCAGGCAGGCTCCGGTTGCCTGCAGGCCCGCCCTGGTAATGAGGGCCCAGGCCTGGGGCTGACGCTTTGAAGATATGTCTGGAAGCTCTCCCCTGGTGATCAATGACAGGAAGCCCAGAATCCTGCTCTAGCCAAATGACAAGTTTGGCCTCTTTTATGAGGAGAGGAACTCTTTATTGGAAACCCAATTACAAATTAATTAGCAGCTTCCTCTGGGGCTACGTGTTAATGACACCAGCCCACGATGGCTTTCCAGTGTGAGCCCCTCACTCCAAGGGTATAAAACAGCCCAGCAGGAAGGGGTCTGTAGACATCCCCGTAGCTGCAGCTGAGGAGAGAGGGCCTCCCACCATGACTTCCACCTGCTGTGTCACCAATAGCTCAGTCAAGAGCTGTCCCCAGACTTCCTCTGCCTGCTCTGGCAGCGTTAGCTGCCGGCCGGAGCTGTGCCTGGGCTATGTCTGCCAGCCCATGGCATGCCTGCCCTCCGTCTGTGTGCCCACCACCTTCCGGCCAGCCAGCTGCCTCTCCAAGACCTACCTGTCCAGCTCCTGCCGGCCCAGCAGCTGCTGGCCGGCCAGTGGCGTCGCCACCACCATGGGCACCTGTGGCTGGTACTACGAAGGGGCCTTCAGTGGCAACGAAAAGGAGATCATGCAGTCCCTGAACGACCGCCTGGCCTGCTACCTGGAGAAGGTGCGCCAGCTGGAGCAGGAGAACGCCAGCCTGGAGAGCAAGATCCAAGAGGCCTGCCAGTCTCAGGTGGTCACCCTGTGTCCTGACTACCAGTCTTATTTCAGGACCATCGAGGAGCTTCAGCAGAAGGTGAGGGTGAGCGGTGGGGTGAACGGACTCCCCGGGAATGCACCCAGACTAGCTGGCATTTCAGATGTGAATCTCGTTAGCTTATTAAGATATATGCAGGGAAAACAGACCTCCTTAGGGCAGAGGGTTATCTCATAATTTGAACACTTAGCCAGATCCCTTAATGTGGGAAGAGACCTGGCATCTAGTCTCAGATCTACCATTGCCTTATTGCATGCCTTTGGGAGGTCCCTTTCCTTCCACAGGCCTCAGTTTCCTCATCTGTAAAGTGAGGATAATAATGGTCCTTATCTAATGGGGTTGTCAAGAGGATACAATGAGAAGCAGGTAAAGTGCTTGGAACAGCCCAGGTACATGATGAGTTTTCAGTAAATGCCGAGGACCCTTCTAACTGTGACATGAATGACTTCAGACATAGCGACATTCTTTCCTTCCACTAGTGTGGAAGTGTATCCAAAATGGGGAATTTGGATTTATGAGGTCCCAGATGCTTATATCTCAGGTTCTCTGAGGACTAGCGGTTCACTAGACACCCCCCAGAGTTCCAGGGGAGGGGCTTCCACAGGGGTGGGGTTCTTTTCCTTCTTCTCATCCGGGACTAACCCCTTCCCTGCGCCTTGGCCCCCAGGTTCTGTGCACCAAGGCGGAGAACGCCAGGATGGTCGTGCACATTGATAACGCCAAGCTGGCTGCTGATGACTTCAGGACCAAGTGAGCTTGGCCAGGGGACTGGGAGGGGGGGTACTGTCCCTGCACACTCTTGGGGCAGCTTTCCATCAGTTTTACAGGGGGCTGGAAAGTGCTGGCTGTCCAAGGCCTTCCTGGAGCTCTGTGCTCACTTCCCCTCCTTGATTGCTGGCCCTGTCCTCGTGCAGGTATGAGGCGGAGCTGGCCATGCGGCAGCTGGTGGAAGCTGACATCAGCGGCCTGCGCAGGATCCTGGACGACCTGACCCTGTGCAAGGCCGACCTGGAGGCCCAGGTGGAGTCCCTGAAGGAGGAGCTGCTCTGCCTCAAGAAGAACCATGAGCAGGTGAGCCAAGAAGTCAAGCCGAGGTGGCCCTGGGCAGCACAGGAGGAAGGATGTGGGTTTGGGGTTGGACAGACGTGGGTGAGATTCCCAAGCCTGCCACACATTGTCTCTGTGACTTTGCCCCATCTATGGGAGCTTCCTGAGCCTCTTCATTTGTAAGACAGGGAAAACATATCATGCAGGGCCACGGTGGAATTTAATGGATATGATGTGGATCACAGACATGATCCAGGTTGTGGATAAGAAACACTTGGCTTGGTGGGCGTTCAGAAATGTAGCTCCCTTCTCTTCTACCCTTCCTGGACTCGTGCAATGGCCAAAGGCTTGCTTGTGGTCGCTGCTTGTGCTTTCTCAGGAGGGCCACGTGGGTTATATTCCAGAACTCATATCCCATGGCCTGTCCATCTCTGCAGGCTAGACCGCTAGGGGCAGCCCTGTCTCCCCGAGGGAGAGTCGAAATGCAGAGGTTTCTTTCTTTCTGTCCTCAACTTCCTTCCATGCCCTGTCTTCTGCTTGCATATAACATACTTAAGCTGAAGCCACAGGAACATCCTTTACTTTCTGACTTTTTCTCATCTTCTGCAGGTCCTGGGAGGGAACGGCCTCCATCCTGGGCACCCATGTGCCCGCAAAGCCCACCCGAGCCATGGGGTTTTCCCCTCCTTCCCTGGTTGACTCTCAACCTCTTGACTTGGGATTTGAATGAACAAGTGCCTCCGAATCCTGGCTGGCTTTCCTTGGGCTTCAGTGCGAAGTAACAATTAGTCACCACGTACTCACTGAGCACCCCAGGGCTCCTGACTCACCCCACTTAAGTCAGAGAACTGGGAGCTGTACCAAAAAGCCACTAATGAGGAGTTATCGCACACTCTGGCAGCCCCAGTGACAACTTTCTCTCTTTGGCAGCCAAGCCTGGGAGGCGCCCACTCCAACTCGGGCCTTGAACTAGTCAAGCCAGGCTCCTGCTGCCCTCCTTCTGGGATGAACATGGGTCCGGAGGGTGACTGGAAATACTGGGGACGTGGGTTTCCCATTTTAGCCCGGATGGATCAAACTAAGCCTGAGGCTGCTCTTGGCTTCTGCCAAACTGACAGGGGGTGTGGCATTGGAATGAGCTTCCCATCACAAGGGTGATGGGAAGCTTCCCCACAGGGGTGTCCAGCTAGAGCCGCAGGACCACTGAGAAGCCGCAGAGTGGACTGCAATCCTCAAAGGCCCCTCTAACGCTGCGATCTTTAGCATCTTGTTCTGCATCTTTCATGTCTCCCTGGGAAGATGAGCTGGGATCCTGTGATTTTTTTTCACACTTGCCTGGGATTCTTTTGCCTTTTCAGGAAGTCAGTGCCCTCCGATGCCAGCTTGGGGACCGCCTCAACATCGAGGTGGATGCGGCACCCCCCGTGGACCTGACCAGGGTGCTGGAGGACATGCGGTGTCAGTACGAGACCATGGTGGAGACCAACCGCAGGGACGTGGAGGAATGGTTCAACGTGCAGGTGGGCCTCTCACAGGTGGGCTGGCCTCCCAGCGTCCTGGGAAAGGATGCCCAGCCTTCTCTTCCCTCCCCCCACTGTAGATGGAGGAGCTTAACCAGCAGGTGGCCACAAGCTCTGAGCAGCTTCAGAGCTACCAGTCGGACATCATCGATCTGAGACGGACGGTCAACACACTGGAGATTGAGCTGCAGGCCCAGCACAGCCTGGTGAGTGCCGGTGGGCGGGTGCCTCACCCTCTGGATCTGCACCAAGCACAGGTGCAGGCATCCAGGGGCAGGAAGAGGAGGCCCAGACTTCAGCCACCGTGGATGCCTGCCCAGCTGACCTTGCCTGCAGGAGCTTTCTCTACAATCCAGCTCAGACAGAAAAGGGGCATGTTTCAAATCAGACATGGGTTAGGTAGATGCTGTCAAACGCAACTGCCCAAGAAAGCTTGTTCTCTGCTCAGCCTGCCCTTCCAGAGCTGTGGTTCTCAATATCACCTATAGATATTTTCAAAGTCCTGGTGCCCAGGTTCTACCCTGGAGTAAATGAACTGGTGTCCTGGAGGAGGGGTCTGGCCATGGATATTTTTAAAGGACTCCCATGTGATTCTAATGGGCAGCTGGGGTTGTAAGCTACTGTTCTAAACGATTCTACGGGGGGGTGAACTTGGGGAAGCTCAGATCCTAAGCGTAAAACTAGACAATGTTTGTAGAAGGAAGATGGGATTTAGGATCAGATTTAGGACTTGGTTTGGGTTCAAACCATGGTTCCATCACATACCGGCTATTTAACCTTGAACAAGTCACTCGACCTTTCTGGGCTTCAGAACCGTCTCGAGTTCATTGAGAGCCAAGGAGAGACTCGGCTCTGAACCATGCATGGAAGACAGCCCCCCTCCTCATGGTTGTGTCTCTCCTTTGCCTTAGAGGGGCTCTCTGGAAAACACGCTGGCGGAGACGGAGGCCCGCTACGGCTCCCAGCTGGCCCAGATGCAGGGCATGATCGGCAACGTGGAGGCCCAGCTGGCCGAGATCCGCTGCGACCTGGAGCGGCAGAACCAGGAGTACAAGGTGCTGCTGGACGTGAAGGCCCGGCTGGAGTGCGAGATCAACACGTACCGGGGGCTGCTGGAGAGCGAGGACTGCAAGTACGCAGGCCCAGCCGCGGGGCCACGCAGAGATGTGGGCGAGGGTTGGGGGAGGTGGAAGGAAGCAGCTGGATCTACCCTGAGGGCCCATCAGCTTAGAACCCTGTCATGATGGGAAGGCATCAGGAAGCTGGTGTGCTCGGGAGAAAGTCAGGCCCTAGTGTTCGTGCTGTTGTCCCAAGCCTGGCCTTTTGGGGACCATCCTGTTCCATCCCAAGGTGACAAACTCCTCCAGGGCCCTGCTGTGGGCCAGGTGCTATGGAGGATGCTGACATAGATGGTTTAGGGAGACAGGCAGGTGAACAACTAGAGATCCCCATGCGGGGAGAAGTTTTTGGCATATTGGGAGGACAGGAGGTAGCTCGGTCGTGTGACCGAGCTGTGGTGGACGCAGGACAGGAACGGTCAGCTGGGGCCCATCCACAGAGAACCCTGGAGATCACGTGGCGAGGGTGGGCTTTACGGCATTGGCAAGTTGGAGGTCTTATTTTATTTTGAGGAGGAAATGATAGAATTTCCTTAACTGCCTATCTTTCCCGCTAGATGGTAAACATCCAGAGTGCAGAGACAAAATAATACGTTTTTATTCCCTGCGCTTGGCACGTCGTAGGTTCTTAGTAAATGTTTCTTGGCCAAGTCAATGAAAGCTCAAAGCTGCTCTTTGGGGAGATGGCCCTGATGGCAGCAGGAAGAACTGAGCAGAGGGAGGGGGACCAGGTGGGGAAACTGCCCAGGAGGCCTGGCCGTGGTCCAGGTGGGCAGGGCAGGGTCTGAGTCAGGGCTGGTAGAATCGGCAGGAGGCGGCTGTCTGGACTCATTACTGTTACAGTGGTTTCTCATTCTACATTTAGCTTTCTCTGTCATTCAGAATCTTATCCTTCAGGACAAGTGTTGCAAAGTCAAATGTTTGCAAGGTCCAGGCCGTGGACATGCATGAGTGACAAGGTTACATGGAGACTGTGGAACTGCAGGGAGCTTGTGCCATGTCCCAGGCAGGCAGGACAGTGGCCTTGGGGCCATTGCTACCGTGGGAGGTGCAGGTCCAGTACTGCTGGAGCCTCTAATGACTCAAGGGAAGCTGGGAGTCTCAATTTTTGAAAAACTATTCAATGCTTCTGATTTTAAAATATTTCTGACAAATTAAAGAAAATACAGTGCTGGCCAAATTAAACACATTTTGAGCTGTATGTGGTCCTCAGGCTGCCTTCTGGGTTTCTGAGCTCTTTGGTCTCCGTCCAAGGTCCGGTGTGTTGTTTCTGGTTTTGAGCCCACGCCTGTCAGTCTCTGAGATCATTCTCCTTCCTTTCACCATGTATTCTTCCTATATCCATTCATCATTTCATCTTACTCAACACATTCTTATTAAGTGCCAATTCTATCCTATGCCAGGTATACAGGGAGGGCTGCTGATGTCACTGCCTAGCAGGGGAGACAGACCATAATAGAGTCATTATTAATCACTGTGGAATGAGGTACAGGGTACCACAGGGGGATGGCATGGAACAATCAGGGAGGGCTTCAAGGAGGATGTGACAGTTGAGTTGAGCTCTTAAGGAAGAGAAGAAATTGATTAGGTGAGTGGGGAGAGGAGAGTCTTCTAGAAGTAGGAAATAGGGTACCAGGCCTGTGCGCGGAGCAGCATGGTCCGTGGAGGAGCTGGAAGAAGGTCAGTGTACCTGGGGCTCAGGGAGCAAGGGGCTAGGAGTGAGGCTATGGCGAGTGGTGGGCGCAGGTCCTATTAAGGAAGCTGCTCTCCATCTGCAGCACAAGTGGGAGCCACTGAAGGTTTTAGGCAGGGGAGGGACATGATTAGATTTGTGTCTGTAGATGATCACTCTGGGCACTAAGTGGATTTGGTTAGGAGGGGTCTGAGCAGGGCCGGGGAGATCAGCTAAAAGGCCATGTGGTGACACAGGCACAGGTGGCAGAGGTTGGGACCAGGGAGGCCGGTGGAGAAGGCACAGGGACGGAAGGGTTTGAGAGGCGTCCGAGGGGTGGAATTGGCAGGACCTGTGGCCGAGGTGGCCTCTTCTACTAATCCTGCCCCACCGGGATTTCTCCCGCAGGCTGCCCCCGAACCCATGCGACACTCCTGCCTGTGCCCCCTGCGCGCCCGCCCCCTGCCTGCCGCGCACCGTCTGTGTGCCCCGCACCGTCTGCGTTCCTTGTTCGCCCTGCCCCCCGGGCCGCTACTGACGTCCCTCAGCGTCAGTGGATCCTGGAGGGACCGGAGCTGTTCCGTGGCCATTAACAGAGCAGGGCCAGCCCCGGCCAGGGAGGAAACCCTGAGCAGGACCAGGCGGTGGACCATCCGCAACGAGTTCTGACACCACAGGGGCACTCTTGTTGCTTCAAAACTGCCTCTTCCGTTTCCAAGGGCAAACTGTTCTCTTGGGTGACGTTTCTGGTCGTCTGTGCTGCCTCAGAGAGCATGTGCTCTTCCTTACCCGGCAAATAAAGCCTCGCCATGGCCCTGCAAACAAGTCCGTCTCTGTCGCTCATGCTGCTGCACCCACAAGCCACTTCTCCTCACGTGGGCTCGGGAGGAATGTGGCCAAGTCCTGTACTTATTTTTATGCCTCTTCTGCTTCCATAGAGCTTGAGGGGTGTTCACTAAACAGGACCATATGCCATAAACCAGTTAAAATCAAGCAATGGGGCCAGAGCCAAGGATTATAACAAAAGAGTAAAGAGAGGAGGGAGATGGTTATGCCAGAAACCAAGGCCAAGCTATTGTAACTGAGAGTAATACTGTAATAAACCCACCCCTAAATCTCATCACAGCTGGTACAATGGGACCATTCATTCATTCAGAAAATTTTCACTGAGCAGCTACTAGGTGCAGGTTCTGCATCAGAGGTTGGCTTACCTGGGTGAGAGTACCCAGACACCTTGCAACAATCTATGAAAAAAAAATAACCTGTTGTTTTATCCACTTTATAAATTAGGAAACTGAGGCCCAGAGAGGTTAAGAAACTTTCCCAAAGTCACACAGCTAGTAAGTGGTGGACCCAGGACTCAAATCGAGGCTTTCAGTGTCTAGAGACACTCAACCAATTCATATTCAGCGTCCTTGCTGTTTGTCAACTACAGCTGGGAGCGCAGGACACCAAGACATGCACATGATCACCACCATCCAGACGTTTATAATTAGCGGGGAGCTAAGACCAGTGAGGCCCTACTCCATCCTCAGTAAGGGCCATATAATATTAATAATAATAATAACAGTAACAGCAATTGCTACCACTTATTTAGTACTTATAATGCACCAAGTACTATGTTGAGCATGTTACATAAATTAACTTAAGCAGTTTTCATGACCTCCTTGTAAGGTAGGCATTGTAACCATTCTAGACGTGGGAAACTGAGGTACAGAGTGGTTAAGTTAGTTGTCCAAGGTCACATGCCAGGACAAAGATTTAAACTCAAGTCTAGCTGCACAGCAGCATTATTCTAACCATTCTGCTACCCTGTCTAATTCCTCCCAGAAAGAGTATGTGCTAACAAAGATTGGGGAAAAATGTTTGAGAGGAATCTGTAAAGGCTTTTTGTAGCTGGTGGCATTTGAGATGGGCCTTGAAGGTTGGAAGGGCTGTCTACGGAGCATGGTCCAGGCAGGCCAGCGTGTGGGCCTGCAGGAGAGCTGGGGGCATGGCTGGGGGACTCAAGGGCCTCTCTCACTGCCTGTGAGAGACAGTGGGAGTGAAGCTCAAATGGCAGGAAGGCATCAGACTATGGGGGACCTCCAGTATCCCACAAAGAGCCTGGTCTCTATCCTGAAGGCAGTGGGTGGGGGTGCTGCCGGATTTGAACCCAAGGATGACATGATTGGAGTCCCAGTTTAGAAAGTTTCACCACGGAGTGTAGACAGGATGGCTGAGGGGAAGGGAGAAGCTAACAGGGTCTCAGCTAAGACTACATCAGGGGGCATGGACAAATAAGGGGTCAGTTTGAGGGACGTGGTGACAGATCTGACTTGGCAATGGATCGGCTGTGGCAGGTAGAGAGGAGGAAGATGGGAACAGGAATCTTTGAACACCTTTCTGAACCTCACCCTCCAAACACACAGTTTTTCCTTAATGAGCTGAGATGATGATTCTATTAAGCATCTGCCCTCTGGCCTTGCGAAGAAGTGATGAAAAAGGAATTGGATCCCAAAGCTGCCTGCAGGCTCCCCAGACAGGATCCCACACGCATGCCTGGCAGACCGGGTCGTCAGGCTGACAGCAGGGACGTAAACACACCGCTCGGCAGGCGGTGGCTCCGGGCGGATAGGCGGTGAAGTTTCAGTGCGCTGAGATGCCAAGGGAGAGGGTCTTCTGGCTAGCTGGCTTTTCTCATAACTGTGTGCAAACCAGTTATCCTTCTTAATGTCAATCCCTGCACAAAACTTTTCTAGAATGTTCTCATCTTGATATCATAGACTGAACAGACCAAATCTTTGACTTTAGAATCCTAGACCTCTTATGGCCAATATGCTAGCCACTAACCACATATGACTACTTAATTTTGAACTAAATAAAATTAAATAAAATTGAAAAATTCAGTTCCTTAGTCCCACTAGCCACACGTGGCTAAGTGTTAGCAAATAGGACTACACAGATACAGAATATGTCTGACATTCAGGAAGTCCTGTTGGACAGAGCCGTCCTAGACAGTCAGAACCAGAAGGAGCCTTCCAGATGAGCTGGCCCAGCCTCCCCCACTCTACAGAGTCTAGGATGCAAGAAAAATGTGCTCACGGACACACAATCAACAGGTGGGAATGGAAGCTGAGTGTTCTGATGCCAAGACTAGCAGATCTTCCAAGCTCTTTACGCTTTCTCCAACTACCCAAGGTTTATTGTTATTTAGGCTAATAAATATGTCCCCGTTTTGCTTCTTTCATTTCCCTAAGAATGGGGACATTTTCTCTGAGTTCCTGAGATGCTGAAACTCTTTCCTGGGCAGATAGTTCCCTTTAAAAACAAATAACTAGCAACCACTGAACTCACAATCTCCTTACCCTTTGGGCATTCGGCTTCAGTGAGGGCACAGACCTCACGCTGTGGCCAGCGCCGCAACAGGGGCCGTCACACAGGGGTTGCAGCCCAGCGTCAGGCCCTGGATGTTTTGGGGGACTTCCACAGGCTCCCCTTTCCCCAGCGCGTATCGTCCAATCCAACCTGGTCCCTATTTCCACACCTGTGTGTCATTCCAACTTGTCAAGACCTGTCTGACTCTCAAATGCCTGTTAAAAGTTTTTATATGAAACCAAGCACCACAGCCCAGGGCCAAGCGTGCCACCCCCCTACTGAAAATGGCCACCACCGGCTTCCACGTCTGGACGGTTCTTCCAAGATAGAGTCATTGCCAGCCACCCTGCTGCCTAGCCCGTCTCCCTTGCTGGATGGTGGAGACGCCACGGGCATAACCTTTGGGAAGCATTTATGCCCCAGCACCAGGAGCCCCTGGAAACGGGGCCCAGTGTGCCACACACGGAGATTCTCAGAGGAACTCTCTCCTCATACCAAAGCATCTGATCTAATTAACTCTGGTTTATAGGGAGACGTAGGCAGGGCCACAGCAAAGCAATAAACTCTCTGCCATATTTGATGTTCGGGAGAAACTCCCATGGGTCCCAGGGGCTTCCCTGAGCGGGACTGGAAACGAAAGGAAGTGATTTTTCAAAGACGCAACTCTCCCCAAGGCCATTCAAGAGTCTGGGCCCTGCGCCTGCTGCTCACCGCCCAGAGCAAAGCCCCTCTTCTGGGTGACGGCCGAGGGGCAGAACTGCCCCTCAGGGACGCCCAGCTAGAGGGCCCTGCTGCCCGGAAGGCCCAGCAGTCGGGCGTCGCGTGGGCGGGTTACGCACTCTTAATTGCACCGGATGAATCTTTCTCTCCCCATTATATTAGAACAACTTTTACAATAGAATCAAAAAAAGAATATGCCTCTTCCAGGCCGTAACTGGGAAAATCATGAATAATAAAATAATTCTCTTTTTGTGTTTGGTTAGTTTTAATACTTGAATGCAACCATCTCAATTGGGCTAAACAGAAAGTTCCCGAGATCATTTGATGCCTGTCTTTTTGAACAATTGGTCCAGGTAAATTTATCTCTAAATAGCAGTCTCCCTTAACCACTGCATGTAAACAAACCCTCAAAGGTGCATCTTGGCATCATGGAGAAGATCAGTGGTTTTGGCTTTGGAAAGCTTGGGCCAGGTCCCAGTTCTGCTACTGACATGCATCTCTTCATCCCTATGCACCTCCGTCTGCTAATCCCTTTCAGAAGTGGGGGTCATTCCGCCTCTTTCACAGAGTTGTCGGGATATAAGGCACATGGGAGTGCCTGTCACCATGCCTGGCATATTATAAGTGCTCAATAATGTTGGTTAGAGGGAAACCTGCTTTGGCAACGAATGTCCCCCTTTTGTGGCTTTCGCCATTGACAACGGCAGCCGAGTCACTGTCAGGAGCCTTTCTGAAGCCCAAGTTTCAGACACAACAGCAGCAGCAACACACTGGCGGCTTTGTTTGCTCTGAGAGCACTGGACAAACTTCCAGTCTTTGTTGTAGAGGTCCTGGTAGGGTGGAGGCCCTTGTGCCCGAGGCCCAGTGTCCAGTTCTGGGGTCCACCTGGTTCATTTCCGGGTGCCTGCTCTCTGCCCAGCCCTCTGGCTTCAGAGCAGGCTGAAGGCCTCCTGTGTGCTCAGAGGCATCCAATTTTTAGGCCTCATTTCCTAGAGCTGGGTAGAGCAGGGACAGCAACTACAGCCCACAGGTCAAATCCAGCTGCTGCCTGTTTGGGTAAATCAAGTTTTACTGGAACATGGCCACAGCCATCTGTTTCCGTGTTGTCCGTGTCTGCTTCGTGCTGCGCCAGCGGAGTTGAGTGGCTGTGGTGCAAAGAGATGTGTGGCCTGCAAAGCCTAAGATAGCACTCTGTGGCTCTGGAACAGAAAAGATTTGCCCATCTTGGTGTGGAGGAAATAGAATGTGCCGGGGTCCTGGGTCCAAGGCCCGGCTCCATCACTGACCTGCTCTGTACTCCCGAGGAACTAATAGCCCCTCTCTGGTCTCTGAAGCAGGAAGGCTCATTTAGTTCTCTGAGTTTCTTTTAGTTCTAGTAACTTAGCAGCCCCTGCTCCATTGCTTGGTCCCTATGCTCAGGGACTCTACCTTTTTGTTTATCGAGGGCCGGTGGAGAGGACAGCTTCATCTGAAAGGCAATGCCACGCCTATAGAGATGCCAGAGGGTCTCTCAGGGGGCAGAACCTAAATTCTCAATGGGCATCCTTAAAGCAATAACACAGAACATTTCTTTTAGTAACAGAGGGCAGTAACAAGGGGTCCGAAGGCAGTTACCCTTTCTTTTTACAAAGCAGGAAGCTACCCACGAGGACTGAATAGCTGCTAATGGTTGTGCCAATGGCAGAAGAATTGAAGAGTCCTGGGAAAGCTCGTGTATTCCATCTGTTCCCATGGTGGGTGAATAAAAGCTCTGGGCAAGAGAACATTCTCACACCTGGGTGCTCGGTCCTTGTAGCCAATCTGCTACTCAGCGTTCCAGGACCACAGCTTCTCGCTATAACGGAAAGCCCTGCCCCTCAAGCTCTGGGGAGAGCAGTTTGAAGGTCCTTGCTCCGGGTGGGCTGTGGCAGGTGGCCGCCCTGGGAACTGCGTACCTGGCTGCCGTATAGCTCGCGCTTTGAGACCATCGAAGAGCTTCAGCAGAAGGTAAGCCGAGGCTTGGAGCTCTGGCATTGATGGTGGGGAAAGACGGGTGAGCAGGGTGCTGGGAGGTTTGGAGGGGCTCCCTGGGGGATGAAATTCCCTTAACATCCACGCTGATGAATTGAAGACGCCAGAAACAAACGTTGGTGCCGTCAGGGGCCAACAACTTGGCTGTACATCCAGCTCCACTGAGCAGGCACCGCTGCTGCCGCCGACCGTGATGAGAGGACGCTGGCTGGGAAGTGGATTACTTTCTTTGCGGTCCAGAGCCTGCCTTATTTGAGGAATGCTGCCGTGCACTCACCAGCTACGGAGCATCAGTGCCCGCAGCTGCCGTGCGGGGCGCTGTGGGGCAGGCGCCGCCCATGGAATGAAGCCTCAAGTCTTAGCCGGTCTCCGAGGCTGCCGTGTTCTGAGCCTCACAGTTCGCTTTGTGGCTCCCCTGACTCTAACCTTCTCCATACATCCTGTGCTTCTGCCAAGCCAGTAGGTCACCCACAAAACATCTGTTCGTTCGCATGTGTGATGCTCTTCTCGTCTTTGCATATCCACATTCTAGCTGGGCTTCGAAGTCCAGGAGATCCCTGCTCCCAGGAAGCCTTTCTGGGGGCTCACCCCACCGGGGTGGGTCTCAGCTTCTTTTGAATAACCCACAGCCCCGTGTTCAAACATCTTTTGTGGCGTTTTCATCTTTCTATTCTGCCCCGAAGTTCCCACTCTGTACAAGACGGTGGGAAGGAAGAAATACCTAGCTTTATTTAAGAAAAAAACATTAATCACATTTACTTAGTATTTTCTATTAAGTGCTGATATTCACTGGGTTGTGCCAGTTTGTATGTGGTTGTTTCCACTAGTCTCCTGTTTTGTTGCTGCCAACAATGAAACAGTGATTATGATATTCCTGAAATCACGTTTGTTTCTACTAGATGTCAAGGCTGGGCTGGGAATTTTCACATACCTCAAAGGGTTTCTTTGAACCCTTTTAACACCCTCTAAGGTGGATATTAATATTTCTGTTTTATTTTAGCAGCTCTAAAGCCACAGAGCTGGTAAACTGCTGAGCTGTGATATATGGGGTCATGCAACCCCTGCATTGGTGTCTGGACGAGATGGACGAGGAGAAAAAGGGGGGGGTCAAGAGGCCCTAGTCCAAGGGCTGTCCCTGTGATCGCTTCACTGCTGCTGAAACCCAGCTAGTGGTGTTCCATCACTTCCCTCTACGCGGGGACCCACAGTGGAGCAAGACGTGAAACCCCACCTGTGTGTGCACACAGTCCCAGGCTGAGACTGTCCCATAACCTCAGATACCTCATGCTTAAAAATACATCAGAAGGAAAGTGATGGAAATGGCCCTGTTATGGCCCTGGTCACATTTTGTTCATTGCCATGATCACATCCTCAGGGAGCGTGGCGTCTCTCGTTCCCAGATCCTAAGCAGGAGGGCGGGGAAGGCTGGCTGGGCCGTCCAGGAGGACAACGTGCAAAAGGCTGCGATGACGTTAGGGCCCAGAGGGGTCACCGGAAGCTGGGAACCGCTGCTCCCAGAGTCCCTTCTCTCCGCCTCTTTGGCATCAGGTACAGGACCTTCCGTGGGGGGAGAAAGGAGACCCAGCCTTTCAAAAGAGCTCACCCAAGAAAATGTTTCCACTGACCTAGGAAGTAAAATAATCCAGTCCTCCCAAAATTTTTGGGATAATTTGATATGTGTTTGGTTAAAAATCAAGTCCTAATCAAAAATTAAGTCAGCAAGACAGGGTTGGGTCTCAACAGTCCCAGTTGCACTTGTTGAGTGTTTATGATGCGTCAGGCTCCACCCAAGTGCTGAACATAGATTATTCCATCTTCGCAACAACCTGTGAGCTAAGAATTGTTACCCCATTTTACAGGGGAGGACATTGAGGCTCAGAGAAAGAGACTTGCTCAAAGGTCCACCTGGCATGCGATGGTGCTGAGATCCCAACCACAGTCCCCCCGCCTCCCACGTGCGATCTTAACTGCTGTTTTTGTGCGTGAAAGTGTCTGGTGCACAGCAAACGGCCAATAAGTATTTTCTTATTTTATTTAGTATAGAAAGCTCCCCCGCTGTCAAAGCTGACATACAGGTGCCCCTGACCAGAGAAGAACAAAAGGAGAGGGCCTCTGAGCGGAGGGCCGCTGGCTTGGAGGCTCATGTGCCTCTGCTGTGACAGTGCTGCCGTGATCTCGGCCTGGCCGGCTGGGGGAGGCCGACAGCCTGCACAGGCTCCTCGGTGCTGGGAGTCTGCGCCAGGGCGAGCTGAGGGCCCCCCAGGAGTCCCCAAGGGAGGAGCCGCTGTGTTTGGAAAAGAACCTGAGCAGGTGTAAGCAGCCAAGAAACAGCAAGGCCAATTTGAGGAGCTTGACCAGGAAGAGCGACAGGCCTTGTCCTTGGGTTGGGAATTAAAGACCCTTGGACCCAGGATCTTGGAAAGGCAGTGCTGGCAAAGGCCACACAGGGGTCTCTAGTCCAACGCTCCCCTTTTAGGGATGAGGAAACCAAGGCCAAGAGAGAGAGGAAACTGCAGTAGATACAGAAAAGAAGATGTAGAGAAAGTGTTTTAGAGGCTCGTCTCTAGCTTTCTGTGGGAAATGATTCAGATGGCCGATTCAAGGACTCAGAGCAGGATTAGATGTGGAGGGTCAGAGAAGGGAAGGGACTGACCCCAAGCCACGTTGCTAATCGGCAGAGCCGGGATTAGAACTCATGCCTCTTTGATGCTCTTTTCTTTCTTTCATGCTGCAACGGCTCAAATTTTTTCAATAGGTAATGATTGAAAAAGGAGAAAGACAACTCTGTATGGGTGTTGCTCTTTCTGATAAAGTGAAAGTAGAGATAATCATGAGGCCGTTTCAGACACGCAGAGAGATGTGGACGAGGGGGCTGCCACAGTGCCCTGCTGCTCCCTGGGGTGCAGGTCTTCAGCACTCACCATGCTGGGGTCTCAGGTGGGGAGGAAACTTGATGGGGGGCGGGGTGAATCCACAGGAAACCCGGATTCTGAAGTGCCTGCTGGAGGACAAGCTCCGGATTGAGCTGGACACGGAGCCCCACCTGGACCTGAGCAGGGAGCTGGGGGAGATGCAGTGCAGGTACAAGGCCATGGTGGAGACCAACCGCCAGGACGTGGAGCAGTGGTTCCAAGCCCAGGTGAGGGCGGGGCTGCCCAGCGGGGTAGGGTACCTGGTTTCTGTTCTGGGTCAGGTAGGTGACCATGTCGTTTACCTCACTGTGCCCCAGTCCGAAGGCATCAGCCTGCAGGCCACATCCTGCTCTGAGGAGCTGCAGCGCTGCCAGTCGGAGATCCTGGAGCTGAGACGCTCAGTGAGCACCCTGGAGGTGGAGCCGCAGGCGCAGCACGCGCTGGTGAGTCCCTGTGCATGCGTGGGAGACTAAGCTTGGCTCCATTTCCCACGACGTGAGGCTTGGAGAACTTAACCAGTTTGCCCCTAATCAGAGAGCTGGTAAGGCGAGAGGGCCAGACACTGAGGCCGGGGCTGTGGATGGACCGTGTCCACGTGTGTCTGTGCTGCGGATGCCATGCCATCCACACGCCACTCCCTGGGGCCACATGCAAGGGTACCCCTGTGACCTGCACCCCTTGTGGCAGCCCCTCCTTGAGTCCATCCTGTGCGTCCACCTGAGGCTGCTGGGGCAGCAGCAGATTCTGCACACGGGGTCACCTGTCACCGCTGATGAGAGGGAGGCAGAAATGAGAGACTCACCTGTGGCTGTGGCCCACCTTACAAAAGGCTGCTCACCAGGTGGGGCGGGTGCCCTGCAGCTCTGCAGCTTCTCGGGAACCTTTCACCTGTGCGGCGATTTTCAAGGAGGTGCACGGTGGGGCCACTTTCCTCCTTTGGCGCTTGGGAAACTGCATCTTTCTTCTGGTTTCCTGGCCAATAAATTAAATGAAGTTGTGTAGTGAGAGTGAGTCTACTGTGGCCAGTTTATTTCACTGAGTCACAGGGAGTATCTGGTCTAGTGTTCTTTTTAAAATAAATTTTATTGTGTATATTTAAAGCATACAATACTATTATATATATATATATATATATATATATATATGAATGGCGGCCCGCCCCCTGACGAGCAGCAGGAGGGGAGCCCCACATGCAAGCACACCGCCAAAGTCTCGCCCAGGGCCCGTGGAAGAGCCCTCGTGAGAACTTCCTCATGCACGAGGCACGTGCTCCCACGTTCCGCAGAGGCCGGCTGGACCCTCAGGCCCACACCAGCCTCATTGCTGCAGCCAGCTGACCAGGCTCCCATCTGAGAGCAACAGCGTCGGTGCCCTTGTCTGCCCAGCCCCCCGCCCCCCCCCCCGCCATGAGTCTGTGTGCTGGGGGACGCGACGCTGCTCGTGGTTGCTCTTCGAGGCGAGCTGCCTCCTCCTTCAGGGATCCTGCTTGGGCCCCAGGTCGGCCTTCGGCCAGAGTGGCGTCGTCCCAAGCGAGCTTGCTGCAATCGCCACACATGTCACGCCCATCCCAGCTGCGCAGGGCGGCTCAGCTCCTCGTGCCTTTCCGTCACGGAAGGAGCCAGGTCACAAGCTCGCCGGTGACCGCCCTGCTGCTGCCCTGGTCGCCCACTCCCCTCCACCACCTGTGGGCCTCGAATCATTCAACTGGATTGACATTTCTGTACTTCGACCGCTCTTAGTACAGGCTTTGGTTGGGACGAGAATCATTCGCCCACTGACAAGGGGAAACTGAGCTCAGAAAGGACAAGTTCACCATCCAGGATGACTCACCTGGTTAGTGCAAACGCATGGACTCAACTAAGTGTTCCCACTTCAAATGCAGTATTGACTCTAAGCAGAAGTCAGCAGCCAGAAAGACAACAAAGGGATGAACAAAAACCTGGCCTCTGGGGCTTCCGTAGCTGCTTATTTGTTCCCAAATTGTTTCCCATCTGCCTGTTCACCCGTTCTATTTTAGCAATTGCAATTCTTGATACAATGAGTCCAAGATGGGTTTTGCTAAAGATCTGGAATCTGTCAACGACCTGTGCTTCTGAGAGTTTATTCTTGCAATGACTGAATTTTGCTTCTGTTAAAGGCAAAACCTCTTATTTTCTAGATAATGGTTCAGGGGCTAGAGAATATGTAAGTCCTAATCAATCTAGACTATATCTTCTGCTTTTGTTTTAATGCCTTATTCTCTTCCATCCTATATAATGACTATTTCTAGTGAAGGCTAATTTAAGATTTAGAGGAGAAAGGAAATGGACACTTATTTTCCATTCGTTCCCTACTAAATCAAAATATTTTGAGCAACGTAGCATTCAGGTCAAGTATGTGAAAGGAAAAACTTGGAAATAGAGCCAGGAGAGAGAAGATCCCCTGGCCCTCGCGGCCTTACTCCACTTCGATCCTCGACAGCATCGGCAGCCAGCTTGGCATTGTCAATTTGTACAAATCAGCCTGGTGTTCTCAGCCTTGCCTGCAGCAGATCTGGAGGAACACCAAGAAGACAGTTCACCCACAAGCATCACACGCCGGCTC